CTTTAGAATATATAAATTGTCTATTCGTGCGAATCCTAGGAATTCCTAAATAAACTACGTACAATTTAACCATGGATTAATATATTAACCATGGCTGCATACAACTGGGCCGTCCACCTAACTGATCACGGTTTCATTTCAGTGACATTCCGTACAAAAATATATGCATGAGTGTATAGAATATTTKAATTTTTCGGAATGTAAACTAAAGTCTTGCTTTTAAATGTTYTCTCAGTTCTAACTTGGCTATTGCCTCCATGTGAACCTCATCAGGTCCATCAGCAATACGCAATGAACGTGCACCTGAATACATGTAGGCCAGCGGTGAATCTTGAGAAACACCCATCCCACCATGCACTTGGATGGCACGATCTATCACCTGACAAGCCATTCGAGCGACAACAACTTTGGCCATTGCAATCTGAAAATGAGGTCAAAATAAAACACTGCTAAGCTAGTAATAGGGGGAGAAACGAGGGAGGGGTTTTCTATCCTTTTGCTTCTCATGCCGTTGATACCCTGACAGGGGTGGATAATTTTGTGGAATAAGCCSACGATTGCGTAAGTTTACCTCTTTTCTGGCTGCTTTATTTCCTTTGGTATCCAACATATACGCTGCTTTAAGTACAAGCAATCTGGCCTGGTCGATYTCCATTCTTGACAAAGAAATTTGCTCCTGTACCATTCCCTGTATGTTTAAGACAATGTCCCATATTAATTTAGTAAATAAATCAGAGAAACGTCAAGGAAACTGASAATTAAGCAAATACAGAAAAGATGGAAAACATTTTTTTCCGCCAAAATATTTCGTATGATGAAATATTGAAAAATAATAATAGAAACTGGAATAAATTCATGTATCGTTTGGACTAAAACTTGCTGGCTTTGCCATCGAACTCGTCCAGTCTATTTGTTAATTGTARAGTAAATCGAACCTTTTCAGCAAGCCGTTTACCAAAAGCAACTCTATCGATTGCACGTTCACAAAGCAGCTGAAGGGATCGTTCTGCCAAACCAATGGATCGCATACAGTGATGCAGCCGCCCGGGGCCTAGACGTCCTTGCGCAATCTCAAAACCACGTCCCTCTCCTGYAATGAGTATTAGAAACAAAATGGTCATAACATTGTAGGCTTATGTRCTTGGCAAAGCCATCACTGATAGGTGGGCTAACAACTAAAACTAGAGCAGTCGTATTACGCCATAGGAAGTCACAAATTGTGTTGATATTCCTGCCAATGGTGCCCAGAAGTTATATCTTTTCAAAGTGGAAACTTATAAAAAGCATGTCGACTGATCACATGCCGTTTCCGGCGTGAACGCGAGACGAGCCTTTCATTGGCATCCTTACTCAAAATACGTGAAATTATAAAAATAATGCAATAACAACTTCAATAAACTAAGATGGCGAAAATAAATAAATAAATAAATAAATGAATGAATAAATGGATGGTGGATGAATAAATGAATAAATAACGATTACCGAGTATCATGTTGCTTGCTGGAACACGAACATTGTCGAAAACAATTTCTAAATGTCCATGAGGTGCGTCTGAAACGAAAATAGAGCCAAAATCAAGGGAATTAACTTTACCACTTAGATGACCCGTCACGTAACAAAATGAACAAATCAATACTATACTTTTTTTTTCCTGACGTCAATCCAGGTAGGAAGGCACGATGCCAACTTCCCTAACACCATGATGTCACAGCATGTTTACAGAGGGATACAATGAGATTTAGCCAAACTAAATGTCCTTTCTCTCGCGAAAGTTGAACTCAATTATTAAGTTTTCACTGATATATTGTATATGTCAATAGTCGCCTTTCTGTATCTACACTGAGTGTTTTGCTGTGATCACCAAATACTGTTTTCTTCKCAAGTTTCTTTGTTTGCTCTTCATTCTCCCCCAACTCTACCCCTCCCGGAGAACCTTAGCGTGACGTCATAATGTTATAGGGCTTCAAAATGTATCCCGTCAAAATGATAGAATTACCGTTATAACCAAAGACAGTAAGAGCTCTAACTTTGTTTACGCCTGGAGTATCAAGTGGGACCAATATCATTGAATGTTGTCTGTGTCTGCAATTATAATTCAACACAGTTTCAAAAACAAGCTAACAAACAACAACAACCATTTATTATTATTAAAAACAACAATACATGTTTATTTTAAATTCTTATTTTATACAATGTACATTCAACATGTTTCTAATTTCAGCAATAACAATTTACAGCGAAAAWCGTTGCATCGCGATTTCTTCGTTTCGTTTTGATTTTGTTCTTCCATCTAAGGGAGGGGTGGAGCTTTCAGTCATTGGCTGATTTGCAGCAGCCTCTGCCCGTCGCAGAAAAACCTAAACCCTAACGATTTCTTTTGAACATTGAAGTCGCAATGCAACAATTTTTTCTGTAAACAACAAGCCGACAATAGCCGACTTGCGAATTACGCATCAATAGTCACATACAAAGGAATCAAGACGAGGCGCCGTGCTAAAGACAATAGATGTTTCAAAAAAAAGCACGGCGCCTCGTCTTGATTCCTTTGTATGTGATTATTGATGCGTAATTCGCAAGTCGGCTATTGCTATGTTTTGCTTCTTTACTTTATAACGTCTTGTCGACAGTAACTACTGAACAGTTTTCTCATGTTGCGAGCTCGGGGCGGTCTTGCGAAAAACCATTACGTTATTGCAGCCATGTTATTTATAGGCCCATTGTGCACCATTATGCTTTGGGGAATCTTTGACTCACTTTTCTAAGCACTTAAACGTTAATAAAAGAGTTTTCAACCATCTGAAATTCGTTTTAAGGTGATATTTGCTGGATACTAGAAGTATTTTGGTGTAAATCATAACAGCAGAGGCGCGCAAAGCATAATGGTGCAAACTGGGCCTTTAAAGCTGCTCTCCATTATCCTCTAACGTTAATATCAAATAAACTTCCTCAAACATTTACAATCTTTATACAAATCTTATCATATACCACGACAATGATGCAATTCACTATAAATACTATACCGAACTATCCATTAACAAAATATAATATATATATACCTTGGTAAGTCATTGCCATAACAACGCCCCATCACAATGGCTATCTTACACCGGGGATCTCCTGCACCTATAGGTATAAAGCTACTTGAATATGATATGTTTTTTTCCACTATCTATATTTTAATGGTAAGTACAGATGTCATGACTGAATTGAATACAATTGGCTATGAAACAAAACAAAACAAAACAAAACAAAACAAAAACGAAACGAAACAAAACGAAAACAAAACAAAACGAAACAAAACAAAGCAAAACGAAACGAAAGCAAAACGAAACGAAAACAAAAACGAAACGAAACACAACAACTCACCACTACTCCACCACTTTCTGCCATTCACAATATAGTGTTCTCCATCCTTTCTGATTTGACATTCCATATTTGTGGCATCTGATGATGCAACTCCTGGTTCTGTGGATTGTTAAACAGCTCAATAAAGACCAAATATCACAAACGATTGATGTATCTTTTTTTCAGAATAAATAAAAGGCAGTCCCTCGTAAAGTTTCATTACATTTTAGTAAAAAGTTAAATAAAAAACTAACATGCGCACGACTTCGCTGATGATTTCCGTGCGCGCAAGGATAAAAGAGAGTCAAGTTCTGGACCCAAAGCTGTTTATCAATAAAACGTGCGCTCGTCATTTTTTAGGCCTTTCTTTGTGGCATTCATATTTGACCGAGCGATTAACAATGTCAATTCATACATTATAGCTAAAAAACAGCACGCTGGAATAAACTGAACACGGCGAGCGCTGGCAAATCATTTAATGAGGTAAAATGACTTCGAAAAAGCGACAGTTATGTACCACAACAAGAGAGCACGGTATTTCATCCGGGATATACATGGTGAACAACATAAATGAATATTTCGAATCATGAAGGATTCTTACCAGTCATGCAAAATGCTGATCTTATTTCTCCATTTAGCAAAGGTGTCAGCCATTTTTCTTTCTGTTCAGCTGATCCATATAAATGAAGGACTTCCATGTTCCCTGTATCTGTATACAATTCAACCAAACGATTATTGAACATAATTTCAAATGCTCAATTACAGTTTGAACATCCTGTAAGCTACCAGCTCTAGCCCAGTCTCCTTCTCAGCCTCACCTTTTGTCGGGCTTTGGAGGGACAGGAAGCCCCAGAAAAGGGAAGGCCGCAAAGGAAACTAGCTATAGCCGGAATGGATGCAGGAGTGAGCTTAAGATTTACCTGGTGCACCACAGTTAAAAACTTCGGGAGCAATGGCRGATTTGCCAGTGATTTCAGCAAGCAAAGCATATTCTAGCTGAGACAAGCCAGACTCTGCTGGCAAGAAAAGATTCCATAGGCCTGCTTTGCGAGCCTTTGCCTAGAAGAAAAGCCGGTTCATTTAAACTTGAGCATTTATTATCGATTATATGATGCTGTTGGTTCCTGATTACTAAATAGTYTCTGGTATATGGGGGCATGGGTGGAACCTTCGGCCTTATGCTCTTTTTTGCCGAGTATCATACATAATGAGCGTTTTTCCTGTACCATTTCTTTACCTTTCCAAGAGTAACATTGCAAAAAGTGAAGATATAATTATATTAGTTCTATTACTTTTTTATCTTTAGACAAAGAAAAACACACAAAAACACACACACACTAACAGACAAAACAAAACAAAACAATAACAAATAGTCTACAAAACAAAAAAAAAGTGATAAAATTAGAGTGCAGAAAATATAGACATGCAACAGCTGAGGACTTTCTAATATTACTAACGCACCACCAAGCAATGCTTTCTTAGACCAACCTTTAGTTCTTCAAGATAAGGATGTATTTTCCATTGAGTCGATTGGTTTGAAACATGTTCAGCAAATATCTAACAACAYACATCATGATATAGCAAATTAACAACCTTTTGACTCATAATTTTCACCGTCTGAATGGATTAAGAAACAATTACCTTTTCAGCTGGAATAATTTGCTCTTCTACAAACGTTTTTATTTGTTTATACAATTGTCTACATTTTGTAGAGATGTGTAACATGTTGAACTCTGATGGCAGCAGATTGTCATCGTCTTCATTCTCCTTCTTGTCAAAGCTGACATAGAATCAAAAACTATCATACAGTAAAGAATCTTCACGATGATTTCTGGTCAAAGGCAGGAGTATTCCGCTCTCGTAATTTGCGAAATTTGCGAGCGCAAAAAATGTAAAAGGCGAAAAACGGCATACTTCTAAGCGTCCAGAGGGAGAAAATAWAGCGTAAAAAGGTGTACGCGTAATACGCCTTAGGTGTAATTCTCCCGATAGAAAATTCTCCGTAGAAAAGTGGAGATTTGCCCAAATTCKAGGAGAGAAAACTACACTATTCTTTATAAAGATAAAGTAATGAAATTTCCTAACAATCAGCGTTAAWATATGTAATGGAGAAAAATGAACTATTTTTGAATGGGGAGATTTTTAAAACAACTTTTAAGAATTTATATTATACAATTTCCATGTAATACTGTAAGCAAACTCCGTGCCTAAGGCCTAATACTTTATTTGTCTACTTAATGTATTCTTTTTGACTAAATACAAATGGCAGTCTATTTCTATAACGTTTTTGCAGTTAGGTGTATCAGTCTATATTGAAAAGAAAACGCCTTTCAGCAGGTGTCGAGGTCAACAGCTCAGTGCAGAATGCAGTAAGTTGCCATACAGAAATATTACACATTCAAACGTTACTCTGTGCTTATTTTATCATACTTACTGCTCTAGATGTTTAAGCCCTTCTTTGGCAATAGGTGTTACAAAATGAAGAAATGCTGAAGCATTTGATGCACTTGCATTTCCTTGGAGAGATCTCTTAAATACTCCCTAGCAATAATACAATAATTATCAGTTTTTGTAATTGAGCTGTCTTTAGTTCTTTTTTTCCCCATTCTTCCTTATCTTCTATACCTGTGCTATGGAAGCGCTCTTGAATAAGTTGAGAGCRACACAAAATTCCCAGTTTTCCCTTGGGATATTAAGTCCACTGCTTTTAGAGTACATTAAAATGCATTCTTCTACAGATGGGATTCCTTTGAGATTTTGATCTAACATAAGTAAGAAAGTTTTTCAGTTGGAAATCATAGATTTTCGTAAGATTTACAAGATTTAGAAAGAAGATGTCTCTTACTTAGTGGGCCGCCAGGGGTGAAGGCTTCTGGGTTGTAATACGGTAGACAWGTGTATGCGAGATCACAGACAGGATGACCAAGAGTTGATAATTCCCAGTCAAGTACTGCTACAATTTCACACTATCAATGATAAACATCACATCAAAATAAAACCTTTCTGCAATATCAGTTCATGGAGAATGAAACATAATAGAATCTWGAAACTTTTTGCATGGATTTTACATGGATTATAAGGGCCAAAGGGACAATGTATCCATGAGATTTTATYAACTCAATACCATATACTGTAAATTCCATATAAAATCCCATTTACAATGTCTTATAACTCCACACATAAGGAAATTCATCAGGAACATACTTGAAAACCATACTAACACACCTTTGATGGATGAAAGATGATATTGTCAATCCTGTAATCACCATGAACTATAACTAATTTTAGATGAATTTGTTAGTTATAATTCAAATGTAACACTATGATTAGGTAACTAGTTTGAATCAATTTGTAAAAATCCATTAAATAAAAATAACAGGTTTACTCACCAGTCTTTAAATTGTCCTCGGGTACATTTAACTTTAGCAGATGCTCGAGTTTTTCCATGCTAGGATTTGAGCCAGTAGAGGCTGCATGATATTGCTTGCCCCATGTTGCAACCTGAACGTCATTGAAGAAGAAAACCATGATTGATGAATGATTAATATATAATTGATGAAATGACTGTACAAACTGTGCTCATGTGTAAGGAATAATGATCATTGCAGTAAAATTATAATAATGTAAGCGATTATAAATAAAAGATGATGGCCCAAAAAAATTCTGGGGTTCAAAAGGAATCGAAACCCATGACCTTTGCTAGCCTCCTCCGCAGGCATCACAAAAAATCACAAAGACTCACGGGATTCCTGTCTTTTTTGGGAGTCAAAAGAGGAGCGGCCAAGATGACCATTACAAAGGAAGCCCAAAGGAGGAAAAAAGAGTTGCCTGGGGAGGAGGCTAGACCTTTGCGATGCTGATGCAGTGCTCTACCAACTGAGCTATGAAGCCAACTATACAAGTGAGTGGTCATTTCATTGGGTGAACCCATCCATACTTAGGAATAAATGATGGTATTAAGAGCTATATAGTGAATAAATGTGTAAGTCTCTTGGGATGGAATATGAGCCATATAACAGAGCTGCAGGAGGATACTAGATAACTGTGTACCTGTCTCTCTAAGTATTTCCTGTGTTTACCATAGTCAGACAGCCCCAGTGCTTGCCAATCAACGGAGTGTAACTTTGCCAGTGTTTTCATCAACTCTTTGTAGACTTTAGACCTATCGATGGGTGATAGATCATCTAATGATGGCCCACGGAAGATGCGGCCCTGTAAAAAAAGACAATGATGTAAAAATATTCACCTTGAGTTCTTCACTTGTCTAGTTTGTTTCAGGGTTATATGATTACCAAGACTAGATAGAATTAAGGGGTAACAAAAGCTTCGAAAGATTGCTAGTGGTGACATCATGCACAAAACCAAAATTTAAMAGAATTTGTTTGTGTTCATTTGAACATAAAAATGCTTATATCTCGTCTAAAAATAGTTATGCAGTACTCAAATTTGGAAAAGAGCTATGAACTGTCACCCCCTTTTGGAATATGGTAACAAATCTCTCACTACAAATAAAAGGCRTTTGCATTGTCGCACTCTCCTGACTCAGACTATAGAAATCAACAAAGTGTCTTTGCGGCATAAATGACAGTAAAARAACAACTTGGAAAGAATAAGAATATTGTGTTGCAGTCCCTATTTTGTTATAAATATGACATTGTTACAATTACTATATGACATGATGATGATGATGACAATACCTTGACATGCTCCATTATGTAAAACTCTGTTCCTATCACACTGGTATCACTGCAATATAACAGAGGTCTTGGAACTGGAAAAGAAACCCTATGCAATGCTGATAGTATTCTAAACTCCCTGTCAACCTAAAGAGAAAAGAAAAACAAACAAAGCAATCAGACTAAATCAGTGTTGTTTGTTGTGTCCTCCTTGCTTTTAAGTTTATGATTATAAAATACAAATAAAACTCATTTGTGTGCTATCTTGAACATCATTTACTGACTGCACAGCTCTCTTTTCAAACCCTCCSCTGCCAAGAATCTTTCCATTATTTTCACCTCTAATTTGCAAGGGTAAGAGAACAGGTGTACATTCTTTCATTGCTTGTTCTCTTTTTGTCAAATTTGCTTTTATAGCGCTAATGTATACCTTTAACTATAAGTTGGTGGGCAGTTTCTATGCATGGAAATACTTACCCTATGTGCCCCAGGAAGTAATGGCCCTGAAGGCTTCTTTCTTAGAACAGCATCAAAACCATGTTTGTTGATGTAGTATGTTGGATTTGACTGTCCAGATCTAGCCAACAAAGAGTTCATTGAAAACAATTATTTTATCAGCATTGATTGATAAAATCCTGCATTTAACAATATTGATAAATATAATAATCAATACTGATTAATCGATTGATAAATTGGAAATCAATGATAATTGAAACAAAGACTGGAGTAATTTTGTAGGCATGACCTCCCTGTACGGTGGATGTTTTCCATTTATTTCAGTCTTTGTTTTTCCTCCCTGATACCTCCCAGTAAGGTAGATCTTTTGCATTTTTGTACAAACGTTTCTCATCCACAGCTAAAATGGCATTTTTGGTACAGATTTTACTTGTCTCAGGAGAGCTCATGGCTCAGGAAAATCAACAGGCTCAATGCAACCAGCATTTCTGCAGTGTTAAGTTATTAGTTGACAGCAGCTGTGCAAAGGCACATTGTGTTAGGAGTTGAATTTCAACGAAAAAAATCTACCAAATTTAGATCTGTTCGAAGTCGATATGGAGGGCTTCGATTCCTACTCTGTCACAGATTATAGTAAGAGGGGATTTAAATAATTTATAAAAGTTCTGAAAATCGCTCCAGAGATTACCGCTAACTATAATAATCCATACAGTAAGTTACAGCGAAATTTAACATATCTTTATGCTACAAATCGACTGTTTACATAGACTCACATATATTCTCTCTTATATCAAGTAAAGAGCTTGGGCTACCCGTGGATAAACAAGCTCAGGAATGACAAATTTTGGGATTTGTTGCCAGATTTTGCCTCACTTTGGTGCAAAACCACAAGCTCCTTGTGCAGCATGTTTCCTAACCGAGAAAAGGGTTTTAATATTAGAGAGGTTAAGCATGGGGTTCGTGGCAAACAGCAAACAACAGAAAAGATCACATGCCCTACTGCTTTTTGGGGGTTAACATTGCAGTTCCAATGCAAGAGTGGGTTATTTTGAGGTTGCCATAATTGTGAAAGCCCGCTCTTTCAAATGACAACCAAAAGCACAAGGTCAGGCACGAAATTCTTCGGTCATTGGCTGGTTCAGCTCTGCCGTTAGCCGTTTGCTATAAATGTGATGCTTGAACTCTATATTGTGACTTCGACTGAAGCGAGACAAACTGTTGAGCATGTGTAACCCTGGGGGTGTACTCCCCTCAACTTGGGTGGGAGTATAACGCTGCAACCTCAAAACCCTGGCCCTCGATCACTCAATACCCTGTTCCATAGTAAAATCGCTAAAAACGATACCCTGTTCCAGAGTAAAATTGCTGAAACGATACCCTGGTTGGCGGCAGGTACCCATATAGCAAATATATGGGAAGTACCCCCCTCCCCCTCCCTGGGATGTGTAATACGATAGAAACCCTTTTTAACACCTATAGACAATTCTTCACAGGTGCAAATAATTATCAAAGCCATTGGTCATCTCACTTCAGTGCAATTAAGCCACAACTACCTTTCAAGAAGGCATAGTGAACAGTGAATTAAGGAGATTAATGCTAGACAACATAGGAATCCTGGTCCAGTTTTTCTATTACACCGGTTTCTGATTTTTAAAATGCAGTCTTGTTCATCTGGAGAGACTTTTGTCCAGGTACTGAACGCATGTCAGTTTGGCTTCTAAAACGATCAAGCTGTGAAGCTGTTAATATCTCATGTTTCAAGTTATTTTCCCGCGAACGCCTTGATACGAAGTTCTCGAATTAATTCAAAAAAAAATTCTAATGGAAGAAAGAAAAAATGGATTTTTTTTTGACGATAATTAATTAAAACAGATCACGTGACGTCGTATGATGATCCTTATTAATGAATAACTTATTTTTAGTTATTCATTAAAAGTTATTTCACAATAGACTTCAGCGACTTGCAGAACAAAAGAGCAATGACTGGCATTACCTGTATTGCTTTACAACAAGCTTGCCGCTTGATTTTGGATATCCTTGCAGATTTWTTTTCAGATAGCTATTTAAATTTTCTTCGTTGAAGCGATGCTCCTTGCGCACTTCACCCAAGTCCGCCATTGTGCCTAATAAGAAACTGTGTATTGTTCTCCTAGGAGACTGGGAATCATACATTGAACCTCGCTGATTGGTTGATTTAGAAATGTTATTTTCTTAAATCATTAAAGATCAATCGATCAATAGATACTTAAATTGTCGACTTTGATGAAGAAGAGTCTGTCTGACCTGTACTTCATCATATTAATTTAAAAAATCGAAAAATTCGAATTTCGAAAGAAATTTTATATAATTAGTCGATATTTGGTCGTATGACCCCTATTGTTGATCGATCAAATATCGACTCGACATGAAGCAATCGATATCTGAGTGTGCCAAAGTGTGGTTTTCTTTCCCGTTCTCTGATTGGCTATTGTGCAACATGGCGGTGCCTTGTGAATCAATCAAAAAGTTTGTACTATCGATGGTACATCCAGCATGCGTGGGGTGCCATAGTCGGGTTTGTTTGCTGCTGCTCAGGGCTGCCTTTTGGAGTGATAGTTTCGTTAATCGTCTGTGGAACAGCAGTGCTTTGATTCTGAAAGGATTTTTACTTTGGTAAAAGTTGGTCTTCAGTAGCTTTGCTGTGCTGTCGTGCTACTGTTAGAAAGGTCTTGCCAAAGAAACACAGGGTTATAACGCACTTTTGGTTCAGTCGCCACGTGTGTTGGTTACAAGGCAGATACTCGGTTATATTCTGAAAGAAACACTTTGAAAGCTCGTAATAATTCAGTGCTTATACTGGTGAAGTTGAAAAGAGAGGAAGCTTTCCCTTGGAAAACTTTGTTGGAGTTTTGAGCTGAGTTCGCTAACAATTAAGCCAGGAAGACAAGCCCACTGCTGACGGAGTTGTGAGAAGACTGAAGTAAAGTCTGTCAGTCTCTACGTAGACTGTTTTCTGTTTCTCAAGCAAGAGGCGTGAAAACATCGAATATATCAAGACTCGCTTCTCTTTAGYAGGMCTGCGGTATAGAGAATACAAAGAACAATCATAATTTGACGTTTTCATCCGCATGAGTTCTGAAATAGTTAATACAACGAGTGAAATACCACTTCGATCAGTGCCAGAAGTCACAGAGCAGGTAGGTGAAGAGGGTGGGATGAGTACCGACAAAAATTTAAAATACACTAGCCCTACGTCGAATCACAATCGTAAATATACTCATATCTGTAATTACTCGTTTGAAAGTTCAATGACAGTTCCTCTGGCTAGGTTTGGGGTTTAGAAAATGTAATTAAGAGGGCCTTTTTCCGGCAAATCTCCTCCATATCATGTGAATTTCATAGGATTCAGTACAAATATGTTGCCTCTCGAAATTAATTTTTGGAAATAGATAGATTAATTGTACAAATTATTCAATCTTGAACTTGAAAGAATATAGTTTACAAMTACGGGAGAGTTATCGTTGGTTTAGGCTGCTTCGTAGACTGTAAACATTGTGTTGAATACTTTACACTTCTGACTGATATTGCTGTGTTTTGTGTCGCGAGGTTGGGCTGTATTCACAATTTCACATCGWCCATACTTGCTTTTTACCAAAGGATAAGTGCTRACTYAAAAACTGACTAATAAAAATACTCATTTTAGAAGAATGGTCGTGTATAGCACGTCCTGATCACAACTCGTTAAAATGGCGATCAGTCGTAATCGTTCAGTAACAATTTAGAATGCGGCTAAAATATTATCGTCCAGTCATCGTTGTGAGTCCTTGGAGTTAAAAATAATGAKTATATAGATSAACAACATTTTGTTGAGCAATTTAAACCAGCTATACTTTTCAGATATGGGATTGTTTACTTGTCAAGAACATTAAGGTTGAAGCTCGYMTGTATGTTGATAGGTGATTSTCYTTGTGACACGTCTTTGAGAAGACTTGAAGTCTTCGCTTTCGCAATAACATACTTACGATGTACGTTTATACTGAATATTGTTGTTGAATTGTATAATATTGKCTTCCTGCATTAGTTATAATTATAGTACCTAGGTATAGACAAAGATGATTCCACTCTGCCACCTCGAATTCACAGTACTTATTATCTCTCTCCAGCTGACATTTAAACTGGTAATGTAGGGTTAAATTATGTCGTTTTGTTCCAAATATTCGTTTTTTTACAATAAAGCAATGCAAAGTACACTTTTTTAATTTGAAATAACTCTCTGTACTCTATTACACATGCAATAACATATGTACAAAGTTTTCAACTTGAGTTTGACTAATAAATTTATTAAATTGTTTTGTACGATTACAGCTTGTAAGATCTCTATTTCAAAACAGCTGAAGTCAACGTGTACTTCAAGGAAGATTATGCTAGATTACTGAAGAAAACAATAGTTKGAACTTAGAAATTGACTTTTGTCTATTAGTTATGGTTGTCAAGAGGCAGGCTCTGTGTGATTTATAATCAATAAGATAGTGATATTGTAAACAAAAGTGCATCGTCATAGACAATCTCTTTGTAAAAAGTCTCTCTTTCCAGTTAGCTGCATCTCAATGTAAATTATCTGGGATAATTTACTTGGTCTCATGTCTTTGTGCTATAAATGTGGAATATGTAAATCATCTAGTTTTTATCATTTTATGTTTGTTTTTGTACTTCAAAACCACCCATGTGACTGGCAGAGGTTAAAACATGTATTAAAATTCTATAAACAGCTATAGTACTGAATCAGATTCTTCTGTGAATTCTTTGTTGCCAGGAACAAATTTGTTGGATAGGAATMTTGTTACTTTCTTGAATTCTATAGAAGATCCAGTAAAATCACAAAATGTGTCGTATGAATGTAAATTGATGCTGCAGAAAGCCTTGAACTAATGAATGGTGGGAACTAGCGGTGAACTTGTATGAGCTGCGTTAGTGTTGTCAAAGAAACAATTGTGTAAAAATTTAAYACTAAAAAAATTAGGCGAAATAACTTACTGACATTTCAGACGTTAATCATTCGTCGAACTAAAAAGAAATGAAATTGATTCATTGACAGATTCTTTGCCTCAAGTAGACACAAAACCCCAATTCCTAACAAAMATTGAAGTGACGGTGCAAATGTTTTCAATGTGATTCTAGTTATTAGWATAAGGTTCCAGTCTTCAAGGTACATGTATAATGGTTTTGTCTCCAAGGAGGAGCTTAGTCATCATAAAAATTGCAAATACAATTATACACTCTCATCTACATGTATCTTATTATTTTTTTTGTCTTTTTTAGAATGCAGACATACCTGMAAATGGAACATTAAACCCCAATGCAGCTGTTTTTAATCAAATAAGGTAAGAACTACTAGAAAAAGACAACTATCAACCCTTCTTATGATAAAAATATCTATGAAGTACCTCTATTTCTCACTTTTGAAAAGTTGTTATTTTCACCAGCGAAAATAACACATTTGTGGTAATAGACCAACCCCACATTCGCTTGAATGAACACGAAACAATCACTTCATTTCGAGGCTTAAGTTCTCGACAAAAGATAAAACTCCAGCCTCGAAATGAAGCCATTGTTCCATGTTCATCCAAGCRAATGCAGGATTATGGTCTATTGGAGGTAAATATAGATTATTTTAATGCATAATTTGTTTTCATAGATAATGATATCATAAACCTAATATTACAGAGTTTCTAGGAGATACAGATTTCAAGGTCTCGTGTTGAAAATCTGTCACAAGTGAACTTGAGAGATCTTTTCAATACTTGAATCTCCTTGCATCTATGTAATATTCTTTATGTCAGTCTAGAAAACCAAACTTTCCTCATTTCACTGTGTTCACTGTTGTCTTTATGTGAATCATCCATCTTTTCACTTTGAATTCATAAWGGCAAAGACTGATTGATTTAAAATGATGCAAATTACCAAACAATTAATAAACAGGAAGTAGGGACAATGAATGGTTTTCTAGATGAATGACTTGTTTGTGAAAAGAATTATGTATGAAATAAAAGAAAAGCAGAATGGAACCATACTAAAATATCAATTTTTGTCCATTTAATGCTGAATGTCTTATTTGATAGCTGTCACTCTTTTKCACAAAGACTTTAGTAACTAAAGAAAATGCAAATAAAGATTGACATTCTAGTAGCCCTAAAAATCCATTTCCTTTAAACACCCTTGTATTTCCAAATTTATTTAATTTATCAGATAAGCTGGTATACATGTAAATTCAACCGCAGACAATTTCAAAATGGGTCAGACAAAATGCTTCCTCTCTAGTCTGATAGCCATTAAACTGCCTCTTTTGGTCATTTAGAAACTGATCTTAGTCTCATAAGTCAGAGATAAAAATGCAATTATYGATWCACCCTCTCAAACAAAACAAAAATTCACAATCTTCAGGTTATTTGTTTTTAATTTGTTTATGTTTAAGTACAGAYTCAGCTATGAAATGTTTACAAGGACATTATAAATTTAACAAGATATCCTTGAGTTGCTCAATTATAATTTATGTAGATMAWAAAATGGAGKTGGTCAAACTCAAGCCTTCTTAACAATTTTTGAAAAATGCCATGTGATTGCAATTAATGAAAACGRGAGAGATGATGTCATTTCCCCCTTAGAAAATGTTACAGCATGACAAAATGAACCATGGTAACCAATGCAAAGTTTTGAATGCATTATCCAACCGGAAAGCTGGAATTTCCACTACAGTATTTATAGTCGTGCATGAGTGAAGACAGCTACATGTATATTAAACTTTGATCAGTGTATATATTTTGTAAGTCACTAGATTAATACCTAAATTTAAGCAGAAGTTTCACTTATAGATCTCAAGAAAAGTTATATGTATCTGAAATTGTCTTGTGAATGTTTAGTGAATTGAAGTAATAGATTATTATTTATCTACTACACCAAGTTATGCTAAAGCGAAGAATGCCTTGGGCTAGATAAGCTATAACCTTAAGCAGTATGTAATAGCTTGTCAAGTCTCAAGCTTTTTTCATCACTTGAAGGAGAAGGAAAGAAAACAAGTGCTGACCAKTTAGATTGTATATCTAACGTGTAAACTACTATCCAGTAGTGAACAATTGAAATTCTAAACACCTACGCCATGGTTCACTGTATCATACTGTAAGCTGCACAGGGATGGATAGCTTCCTTGATGAATTCGATGAATTGTTTGATSTAGTTCTATTATATTGACATCTTGGGCAGATTGATCCTTGTGAAACCAAAAGCTAGACTGATTAGTATTCCTATATGCTTGATGTTAATGTATTCTGTTTTCAGTTTAATGACCTTGTCAGACAAAAGCCCTGAACCACAAACWCCAAACACAGCAGATAATTCCAAGTGGCAACAACATGCAGATGGACARCAAATAGTTATAATGGCAGAGAGCCTTCAGTACAGCCCTCCTGCTGCAGTCAATGGCTATGGAGGAACATACTCCAGTCCTGGGGCCCAGTCCCAGGAAAACTCTCCAGACAGTCTCACTCTGGACGAGTTGAAAGCCTCCTTGCAGAAGCAATTGGAATATTACTTCTCAAGGTAAAAATACATCTAGAATCTAATGTTTGTAACTGTGAATTAAAGGAGGTTGAAGTGAAATCTCAATAAGACTGATGTGGATTTTTGAATCCTGAAGCTGGATTTGAGTAAGCTTCCCTATATACATCTTATTCATTCTTAAGTTGTGTATATGCCGTAGTTAGAATTAATAGATATCTATCATTAAGAAGAAATTTTATAATTTAGCAGTGCTTCATATACACATGTACATGCATTGAATTTTCTGATTTTTACTAGAAATAATGTCACCTTAAAATAATTATGCAATCTTGATTAAATGCTATCATGGTTAATCTTGTACATGTTCACTTTCAGATTGTTTTTTTTTTTTTTTTTTTTTAAGGCAACTGATAGAGAAGGAACACTTCAAAAGTCTATAATTTGCTGATTAACATTGTTCTCCTTGTTTTTTCATTGATTTTTCAGCAAAGCAATGACCTTTTTGCTGATTTTTTGATCACTTGATTTTATTTACTCAGATTTTTAAGAAAAGTGAAAAATATTTAATATTTCAACATCTATATTCCTAGTTTGGCAAGGAAGAAGTTCTGTAAAATTTGAACAGATGTCCATTATTTTATCAGATTATGAAGAATTTATTTATACTGTACTCAGAATGCAGAGAATGCCCTATATCTATAATATTGTGATCTCACTAGGCTAACACTTTATGCTGGTTATGTTAGTTTTGCACTGTAATAATGTTTGTATAATTGTTGTATTTTGTATGCTAAATTATTTTATCTTTACCTTTCAGAGAGAATCTTTCAAGGGATAGTTATTTAAGTAAGTGTTCCACTATTTTAAAATTCTTGTACCTTGTTCTCAATGCATAAACCAGTAATTTATGAAGAGTGATAGTGGTTGGTATCCGATTCAAAAATGTTTCTAATTTAACAATGGCATATGATGTGTTTGACATATTATTTATATTTACGTATAATGTAAAATGCCTTGCATAGACCTTTTCGCAAATACAAAATCATGTTTCATTGTTGTCTATGTTTACTATAGAAACAACGCCTAATTTGGCCTTATGAACAAAATGTGCTTTAACTAAATTTACATGTACAATGTGTAATAATGGTGTGTCACAAAAGGAAGTAGTCAGACGTATGAAGTCTTTCACAACCATAATTTTTATTGTTTTCCCATTGTGAGTTATTGAGAAATTTTGATAAATGATGATAACTGTTTATTGCATAATACCAAATCTGACACTCCAGACTGATGTGTGCCTATCAATGTTATTTTAGTATCCCAGATGGATGGAGATAACTTTGTTCCTATTTGGACAGTAGCAAACTTTAACCAGGTATTGTAATGATATCAACAACATACATGTATACATGTACACTACGGAGCTGAAGATTTAGGTTTGTTTTTTTTGTCATTTTTGTAACAGATCAAGAAGCTCACCAGTGATATAGAGTTGGTTAAAGAAGTTCTCAGAGGTAATCAATCCCATCTTTGTGTTGTAGATAATGAATATTTATTTATTTGTAAAATTTATTTATTTATTTATTTATTTATTCTTCTTATTTACAGAGTCTCCTCTTCTTCAAATGGATGAATTGTGTGAGAAAGTCCGCGCAAATGTCAAGCGCTGCATTGTTGTATTGCGAGAAATCCCAGAGTCAACTCCTATTGAGGTATTGCAAACATTCATTCTTTGAAAGATTGTGAATTATTTTGTGTTGTTAATATCTTAACTTTCTAAACGAGACATAATTGGTATCAATGAATAAGTAACAGGATGTTTACATTGAGAAACAAACTGAGATGCACCCAATTAAAGTAAATTGTGCATTAGAAAGTAGAAGTGATTTTATATGATCCTGCAACAGATCATGACCACAGTGAAACAACATAGAAGGTCATAGAACTTGGCCTGGACTTTGTGTAAAGCAATTGATTCAAAAMCATGTCGCTGTMAAGGCATGGATKTTTAGYTTTTGGACAGTCATAGTTGTGAAGTCTTTTCTAGTGAGCAAATTGGGTGGAATAATTCCTTCCATTCTTAAATGGGTTTAAGGAATAACAAACAAATTATGTTTGCACTCTAGTCATTCCTTTTGTCATTCCCAAACTTKCTGCATGTAGAAYTCATGTTGTTTTACAATAGATTCTAGGTCATGTCTCCTGGTTTATATGTAATCGAGCTGTTTTAAACCTCATACAGATCGCCCGCTCATATTGTATRTTACTTATGAAACGTTGAGGTAAACTAGCTCAGGTTTTAAAGAAACTTTTGAAAAAAAAATCAATCTGACCGAGAAAATCAGAKTTAAAGTTTATGCAAATGAACAAGAAATCTGTATGTAATATACAACTCTCTTCATGGGCTATGATTTCTATTGTGTTTTGCCTTATGAATATTAATGARTTTTATATCTAGTCTTATTAAAATGGGATTGTTTGTGTAGGAGGTCAAGGCTTTGTTTGAAGGAGAAAACTGCCCCAAGCACACCAAGTGTGAGTTTGTCAGTAATGATTATTGGTACATTCATTTTGACACTGAAGATAGTGCTCAGAAGGTAAATAGTTTTTTTTATTATATTAAACGTTTTTGTCCAACGTTCACAGTATTTATTATGAGAAATCTGATATTGTCTTTGATATTGGGATTAATAATGACTATTATTATTGGCGTAGGCCTACAAATATCTTCGAGAGGAAGTAAAGACATTCAATGGAAAGCCAATCATGGTATGTTTATAAATAAAATAAAAAAAAATCATGGTATGTACATGTACATGTACTCTTATTTGTTACATGCT